AGCTGGGTGGGGCAGGGAGGGGTGAGGATTAGAGTTGAAATGCCATCAAGAGGTGTCTATCTTATTTCCTTCATAAGCAAATAGAAGCTTGCCTTTTGAAAAAGCCTTGGGCGCTTGTCAGTATTTGGGAGGGGCCTCAAAAGCAAGCAGAACACCTAATCTCTGCTGAGCGAGGCCCTCATTCAGCTTTACAGAGGAGTTGCAGGCACCCATTCAATTGCCATGGCAGCTGGATCCGATCATTGGGGTGTTGGATAAGTCAGCTGTCAGGTCCAGCCTATTGCTATCAAATGTTGCTGGGAGGGGACCATTTATTGGCTCAGGGCACCACTGCTAATCTGCACACATGCCAAGCCTTCCTAGTACCTTATAAGACATTATCTTTTGGCTACTCGCAGCGATTTCTTAACTTATTACCACAAGTTTCTTCTTTCTTTGCAATGCAAGCAGTTACAACTGCAAAGCATGGTCATTTCTGCTAAGCTTTTCTTACCTGTTTATCCCACAGAATCTTAGATGTGGTTTGGTCAACTGGAAAGTAATTCATGAACCCAGATGGCATTCTCAGCCCTCCAAAACTTTGTGTCTAATGCCTGTTATGAAATTAGAGCTAAATGTGCTGCTTCTCTCAAAGGTTTGGGTGGGTATCACAACCCTCCAACATTTCTCTGATGAAAATGATAATGCCTTATAAGGTACTAGGAAGGTTTGTGGGTGACTTAGAACCACAAGGGGGAATGGAGGAGAACAGTTAGAAAACTATTGTGCATGCTTAAAAAGGCTATGAATATTAGTCAAACCGCCCAATTGGAGCTAGAGCTAATCAGCATGATCATGGGATGTATGTAGCGAAGGGGGTACATATCAAGGGGGAAATATGAAATAAGTGGACCGGGAAGTCTGTAAACTGCAGTCTCCTAACCAATAGGACAATGTAGGAGGGAAATTTGGACGGATTACTTAGGGCAAATTTGTCCAACGGATTCTGACTTGTAGTGCTTGTATTGGGGCACATTAAGGGAGGGAAGAGGGCTTGTTAAAGATCCTCTATCTAGTACATGGTCTAGAGGAGCATCTAAATACCAGTGCCTTAAGAAATGACCAGATACAACAGGGAGAAGAAGCTGCCAAGGCTCAAATTAAGAAGCAACAGCCTTGCTGCTGTTTGCTGAAAGAGCAGAGAGGGCTTACCGAGTTGCAGAATTGCCAGATTGGGGTGCTTGGATGCCAGTTGCCTCAGCTCCTGTAGGAAACAAAAGAAAACAAATTATATCATGTTGTAATGTGTCCGAAGTTCCCCCACGTACATTACCACAGAGTCGTTATAACTATCTTGTAAGTAGGCCAGTCTTAGCCCCATTGTGCAGGTGGCAGCCTGAGGCTTCCATACTATCTCCCACAAGGGCATTGTGGGACTGAACTTGAACAATATCAAGAAAGAACTCAAGAATGGCTGGTGAGAGCCATGTGGTGGAGCTGGAGCAACAAGTTCAAACCTCTTCACAGCTGAAGTTCACATGTAGACTGAAGGAGAACAATATACTTAATTACCCATTTCCTCCCAAGGTGAGCTAAACCTGGCAGGACAGCTTACTCTATGGCATTAACCCCTTCATGCATTAATTAAACTTAAGCAGGTTGCTTATATGAGGCAGTTTATCCCACAATAGGTGAGTTCTGGGTCTGAAAAGGTTGGAAATTTATGCCCTATGGGAATAGTCTTGGTGATGCAACTAACTGACCAAAAGAGCCAAGTGAGGGGCCATCTGCCCCTGAGAAATTGTGCAGCTATTCCAAAGTTTTTAAAAAGCTAGATTTTCTGTGCTCAGAAAACAACAGCTGGAAGCTGAAGAGGGGAAGCATTAGAGGGGAATGTTTTCACATTGTGCAGGTGCCTTGAACAAAGGTGTGGTTGTTCCATAGTAAATGCCCAGCTTAACTTTTAACATGCCCTGGAGCTAGTTGAACATGACTGCTACCACTGTGAAAGCTCCAAAGTATTCAATGTAGGCTGACTTCACCATGTTAAAACGAGGTCATGTGCTAAGGAGTTTCTTTGCAAACCACAGCAGTAGACTCTTTTTTCTCTTATTGGAACAATAAGTGTCATTCTAATATTCAGCCTCATGTTTATTTCTCTTTGCTCCAAACTCAGTTTGCCTCCAGCAACACTCAACTTCCGCATTTGTAAATAAATCCAAGCCTCCCTGTTCTCTCCTCCAAACGGAGAGGCCCCTAAATTAGGGAAGTCTAGAGCGTGCAACTCCACAAACAAAACAACCAACCAACTAACCAGAGTTCTCTAACAAGGCTTTGCAAACTTGCCTATTTCCTGTTTTAAATTCCCTGGCTGAGACGAGCCTCTTGCTTATATAACAACTTGGAAACTTTTTAGCACAGATTCTGAAAAGGGCTCTTGCATGCAACACTGACTTATGGAAGTCAGAGTAACACAATCTGGCAGCAGGGAAGGAGAAGTTCCAGCTGGAAAGGATGGAGTGTGGATGGATGCCTGACAGTTGCTTCAGGGGAGGGAAAAAAGTGGATCTTTCTCTTGCATGCACACCCAGGAATTGAAATCCCTAAACTGGAGGTAAGAAGATATTTCTGCTTATAAACAATGTGCAGGGGTTGGGGAGACAATGGGATTTGCAGAAAGAAGCCTGTCTCAGACACATCAGCTTTGCAGAGAGAAAGTGTTTGTCCTCCTATCGTGGAGGGGAGTGTGTGTGTGTGTGTGTGTGTGTGTGTGTGTCCCGAGAGGGAGACTTTCTGCCTTCAAAGTCAGCTAAAGAGAGTCTAACAACTCACCTGTGCTCTGGCCCCTTCTGGATCCCGGCAGGTTGCGAACACTACTTGGGGAGGGTTTGGTTTCTCAAGGAAACATTTCACCAGCTGCAGCCCGATGCCTCGGTTGGATCCTGTCACCAAGACACTGCGAATGTGACCTGATGCCATCCTGTTCTCACAGAAGCCGTTACTCCTTTCAGCAGCTCCTCTGTGCCTTGCCCCAAGTTTTCTTTCCAGTGGGCTGGGCGTGTGCCATTTCCTGCCGTGACTGGGGCACCCGCCTTCCTTCCCACTGGCTGGCTGCAGAAGAATATCAGATTCCGTGTAGGCAAGCTCAGACTGCTCTTTGCTCAGAACCAATGGGCAGAAGGGATATGGTCAAGGATGAGGAAGTTTTTACAAGTTTTGCAGGCTTTTGGACTTAAAAATAAATAAGCCTCCAAGTCCTGTGAAATAAATGGGTGTGTGTGCACCAGTGCTTCTCAAGTACTTTAGATTGAATTGGGACCCACCTGTAAAAATTTCCACTTGACCTATGCTTTCTAGGCATGGGTCTGAGTGGTTTACCCCCCCTCCTTTCCAAGGAAAAAACTGTTCTTTAGTGACAGATCAGAAGAAATGGCAATCCAGGGGAAACCCAAATTGCTGTTTGCCCCGATTGAGCGCTAAAGAGTTGTTTTCCCAGGGGAAAACAGCAGGGCAATAGGAAGTGTGGATAAGCTGTAAATTCTCCTTTCAAATCCCATCATCCTTCCTGAAACAGTCCATACAAGTAAGGACAAATTCCAATTCCTTCACATCTTCAATAGTATTTACTCATGGCACAGAGCAGAAGTGGGGGGCATGTCATGCTCTTTCTGAGGTAGTTTGTCCACCTTTTGTCGCCCCCCCCCACACACACACACTCAGCTCTCACCTGTGGCTCCTAGAAGCTGTCAGCATGCAACAGTGGCCACACCCTGGGAAACGGCTTCGACTGGCTGGCTAAACCAGGTGAGAGTAGCCAATTACAACCCAGGGAGGTAGACTAGTATTTCCTTTTCCTTTCCTTTCTTTTTTTACAATCAGGTAGTATATAAATTTTAGGGGGGGGGAATAAAATAAATAATTTTCAGAAAACTAGAAGGGATGTTGGGAGTGCAGTGGCAGCAACTGTGAGAGGTCTCTGACTTGCACCAAGCTCAGGACTATCAGAAACTAGCCCAGGCCAGGAGAAAGCCAGGCTGGCAATAATACTATTAGTAATAGCATGTATGCATAGAGGTGGTAGCCTGTTTCCTTTAGGAGGTATGCTAAAAGAAAAAAAATACCTCTAATTCCCTTATGGGGTATATAGAGCTCGTATGGAGTCCTTAGATGGAGTTCCCTATCCGTAGGAGAGAAAAAGCAGAGGACAAGAAGTGTATATTGAAAAGCAAAGCAGCTTTATTAAAGAGAAAATAAACTGTTGCAACAGGGTCCCCACTCACCACACGCAGGAGGGAGGAGAACCCCAAACAAAAGAAAAACAGAAGTTTATACCTTCCAATCCACAGGTGGACCTTCCCACAACCTATCCAGCCAGAGCGTCAGTCATACATCAGAAATACGTTATAGAAGGGAGGTACATCAGTTACAGATAAGTTTCACAGGATGCAGCTAAGTCTTTGACACCTCATTGAGCACTCAGTACAGTGATACCTCGGGTTACAGACACTTCAGGTTACAGACTCCGCTAACCCAGAAATAGTACTTCGGGTTAAGAACTTTTGCTTCAGGATGAGAACAGAAATCGCACGGTGGCAGCAGGAGGCCCCATTAGCTAAGTGGTACCTCAGGTTAAGAACAGTTTCAGGTTAAGAATGGACCTCCAGAACGAATTAAGTTCTTAACCCGAGGTACCACTGTATTTAACATTTATATGTGGGGGACACACCCTTAGGAATGTGAAGAGGAAGTATTGAAAGAGCAACAAAGGGAATCTAGGGCTTGGGGTTTTGGCTTAACAGCATATAGACTTACCGTATTTTTTGCTCTATAAGACTCACTTTTCCCTCCTAAAAAGTAAGGGGAAATGTGTGTGCGTCTTATGGAGTGAATGCAGGCTGCGCAGCTATCCCAGAAGCCAGAACAGCAGGAGGGATCACTGCTTTCGCTGCGCAGCGATCTCTCTTGCTGTTCTGGCTTCTGGGATTCAGAATATTTTTTTTCTTGTTTTCCTCCTCCAAAAACTAGGTGCGTCTTATGGTCTGGTGCGTCTTATAGAGCGAAAAATACGGTAACTCATTCCCTTACCCTTTATCTGAATAATAAACCTTATTGTTTTATCAGTTTTTGTCTCTCTCTATATATACTGTGTAAATCACATAAGGCATTATGTGATGTATATGGAAAACACTGCTTGAAGGTTTCTGAATGAGCTTCCGCCATCCACTGAATAAATGGCTTGGCATTAATGGATTGGTGTTATTCATTATAGACAGTTTCTGTATTCTTAAAATAGGTGTGAATGCCATTACTTCAACGCAGGGGAGATTTCTGAGCAAGGCTGAACTTCAACCCAGAGGCTAAAACAGCTGTGCCCCCAAAGGACGGCTTGCCCCGGACAGCCTATTCAGGATGAGTGTGCAGTTGCTACTCTTGATGGGTAGAAAATCTGCAGCCACCAAGAGCAGCTGGATGAAGAGAAAGGGAACCCTGCACCTCCTCTGCGGGACAACAAGGTCTTCTCCTTTGAAGAAGGAGCAAGTGGAGGTGGGGCTGTGTTGCCAAGTCGGTTCTTTCCCTCCACCAAACTGAAAACAACTTGCAAACTTGAAATGGGATCTATCAGTTGGCATCAACAGGCATTTCTAGATACAACAGAAACAAGCAAGCAAGCGAGAAAGAAATGGAAGCGGGCAACTCAGGAAGTTCACATAGCTTTATCTGTGTTTTATTGCCATCACAGACTTCATGGAGCGGATGGATGGATGGATGGAGGCCCATGATTTGTGACTCGTTTTCTCACCAAGGAACAACACGCCCTTTCCAGTCAATGAAAGACCCTGAGTCTTTGTCAGTGACAGCAGAAAGCACTTTCAAGATCCCACTGCAACTCTCACTCACTGTAGTTGGGACCTATGAAATTGAGAGGGAACAGTTAGAAACGCCACGGGAATTACTAGGGAATCTGCCTTTCCCCTGGTTGACAGGGCTGACTACCTATTCTGTTCTATCAGTCTCTCACCCTCATGAGCACAGGGACAGACCTTGTCATAAACTGCCACACAACGGAATGCATGAACATGTGCAAGCGAGAAGGCCCTGGCATCTCCTCTCCAATCCCAGAGCTGCTCACCAGCGCCACCTGCTGCTGCGCCTGCTTCCAACTTTTGTGTTATACTATTTTATTGAAAAAAAATTTTTTGTTTTAGATATGTACGAATGACCCCCGCTTGTTTGCCCCTCCTATTTACCTCTTTCTCACTTCCTTAAGAAATTATCTATATGTTAAAGTGTCATACAAATGTTTCCCAATACATAGGTTGAATTAACCAAGTTTATACCCTCTCCATCTTCACAAGGAACATGCTGTTGGGGTTCATTGATTGAGCTGGAGTCCCTCCCCAGGAGTCTGGCCTTTTGCAGTCTAAAAGAGGGCATTCTTCCAATTCAAGGTATTATTATTTATTGAATTTATACACACTCACAAGTCTTAGGGCAGTTTACAGAAGTACAACCAGACTAAGGTGTCGTTGGAGCTAAAAGTGAGTGTTACACCTGCCCAAGAAAGACCTCAGCAATGGATTTGAGGCTGCTCCTTATGCAGCAAATGTGGAGCCCCCAGGAAGACTCCCTGATACTCCCTGGCCTTCCATTACAGAGAAAAATCAGAGGGGAAAATCACTAAAATGCCTGACCATCCAAGGCATTTTAATGGGTGGATCTGGCCTCACTTACCAGACATGTCCCCATGGAAGTTTTCACCCAGCCAGGGTGGATGGAGATGCAAAGGATCCCCAACGGACCATACTCCAAGGACTGGCACCTGGTCAGCATGTTCACAGCAGCCTGAGGGCAAGAGGTGCCATGAGAAGAGGGCACATCAGGTGTGAGGTGTTCCAGGCAGAGGGCCCTTAAAGACTCAGGAGCACCAGGGTCCAGTTGCCCTGATAATTACACAAAAAGGTGGTGTCCAAGGTCTGGTTGCCCCCCCCCAAGTGTTTAGGATTAGGGAGGATGCACACACAGGGCACCTGTGCTGCCTGGAGAAGTTCATAGCATATCCAGCTTAAAAGCAGCACTCAGGTAGCAGCAGCAGCAGGAGGAGGAGGAGCTGGCCACTCTCTGGCAGCCAGAGCACAGAAGGCTGGGTGGTTAAATGCTGAACCTCTGAGTGTGGCCAAGAAGTGGTGAGTTCACCATTCAGAATTATTATTTCATTTATTTAAACAAGGCCATCATTATCAATGACATTGCATTTTTCGTTTGGGTGATGTAATGGTGGTGCAATTGATAACGACTGTATATGATTTTATCATATCACCATTACCATTACGTCACCCAAATAAATAATGAAAGGTAGATGACACGGTATATCTACACAAACATAAATTTTATGCTGTTTCTGGGCACTATAATTCCTGTTGCCACTCAAAATTCAGGCCTTGAGGAGCTACCCCAGTGAACTGTTGTCATGAGGGTGAAGTCGCATGAAAACCCTGATGCAGAATAAGTTTAAAAGTGGATCTCATCAACGTCACATTTTCCAACACATCCACTAGGCTCTGACGTTTACCCTACATAAGAACTCGAAATTTCATAACTTGGCTAATTCACAAACCACTTGGAATCTGGTGCTTCCTTTAGACTAACTGGTGTGGGCTGCTGTTTTGGACTAGCTTATCTTCCACATCTTAATCATACTTCAAACATTAGGAGCACACAGCCTTGAGAGGTACCTTGCTGCAGCGGTAGGAGATGACTTGAGAGAGGCCCCATCCAGCCATTTTCTCCAGAGAGCCAAAGTCACTGGCTATGTTGACAATGCTTGCCTTGCTGCAGCTCAGCCCTTCTTGGAGGCGTCTTTGGGCAGCAACCTTCAGCAAGGGCAAGAAGGCCTGGGAGAAACCAGCACAACTGGGCTCATTAGATGGAAGGAAGATCCCAGGCGATGGACAGCCACTCAGAGAAGCCATTTCTAGTGGCAGGAAAGTAGCAAAGGAAGGACTGGAAAGGGGGAAGTGTGGAAATGAATGGGCTAAACTGCAGGAGGAGAAGGGGCAGAACAGCAGCCTTGACATCACTGAGTTTGGGCTCGTCTTTCTCCTTGCATGCTTTCATCTTCCTGTTTAGGGTCACTGTCAGACAACCCATCACATTGTCGTAACTAATGTCTCATTCACACAAACAGGAACACAGGAAGCTGTCTTCTATTGAGTCAGACCATTGGTTCATCTAACTCAGTACTGTCTACACTGTCTGGCAGCAGTTCTCCAGGGTTTCAGATAGGAGTCTCTCTTTAGCCTTCCCTGGAGATGCCAAATGACTGAACCTGGGAATTCTGCATGCAAGGCAGATACTCCATCACTGAGCTGCAGCCCTTAATGTTAATAATAATAATAATAATAATAATAATAATAATAATACCATTAATATATTATATAATTTTAATTTTAACATTATTATTTGCACACACACACATAGTGTATATGCATATATATTTTCCTTAAAAAAAACTTATTTAGAAAATAACTCCTTGGTACAAGCCCCCTATCTGATGTTTAAAAATGGACCTCATCAATGTCAACAAACTTCCCTTGTCAGATCCTAGGAAGACACTTGCAGGGTTTGAGGGGCATCGTTGTTGTAATAAAGTACCCTTCTCCAATGATCCATTGAAACTTCACGTTCCCTCAGTCCTTGCCTGGTTGTTTTATCTCCATAGTCCAGAACAGACTTAACCTAAATCAAATCCACCTCAGCACCACTGCCCTATTGCCACCAAAGTCCAAGTGTCTTCCTTGTGACCAGGATCCTGGGCCCATCTGACCTGAGCAGACTCTTGGGGCCATGCTTGCCTTGAGCAGACTTGGTCTAAGATGAAGAAGTCTCACGTATCTGTCACTAGGACTTCTGTGGCTCTTGGGAGAGATAACAGCTTCACAGGACCGTTTCCTTCCTGCACCTGCTCTCACTCTCATCATGTAACTTCTGGAAGGTTCCAGAGAAATGAAGAGTTTGCCCCCCCCCCCAACCTGGCACATCCTCACCTGACTGACTTGCAAGGTTCCCACAGTGTTTGTGTTGTACAGGTCGGACATGTTCTTGGCTGTTTCATTAGCCAAGTGGGTAAACTTGACCAAAATGGCAGCATTGTTAATTAGCAATGTCAGGCCATTTTCTTTGACGTGCTCCTCAACTCTCTGCACAGCAGCCTCAATGCTCTTCAGATCTCGGATATCTGCTTGAAGAAAAGGGATAGCGATGAGCAAGCCCTGTTGATTGATTTAGCTAACTAGCCCTGTCTTAGCAGCAGTGGCTGTCCAAGTTTTAGAAGATACCAGAGACCAACTTGGGACCTTCTGCAGACAAAGTAGATGTTCTCATCTTGAGCTATGGCTCCTCAGTTTAGCACACTACACTATGCTTTGCCTGCTTGATGAAGCCATCAGATGACCATTTCACCACAAATTCACCACAGGATCAGACTGGCTGGACCAATGGTTGGAGCTGGTAGAAGGAAGTTTCTTAAGTTCCTGTGTTTAAGCTCTCAGCCAATTTCTGGGAGGCTTGCACTCATGCATCAGCCACAAGAGCAGTAGAGCATTCTGGCAAGTTTTTATTTCTGGCTTGTGTTCCACAGTGCCAGTGCTCCCTGGGAACACCTCTATTCAGGTGGGGATGAAACTATATGTGATGCCAACAACAAGATGAAGACAGTAAGTGAGAATTTGCAGGGGAAATGTGTAAAATTTTGCATCCATCAGCAGTGTTAGCAGGATGAAAACATACATACCTAACTGTAGCACCACCAGGTTTGGATGTCGCAGAGCCAGCTTTTTCAACTTCTACCAAAAAAAAAAAAAAAAAAAGGAAAAAAGCATTTATGAAACCCCCTTTTTTACACCAAAATGATGAGACCCAGTGGAGGATATTAGTGCAGAAGTGGCCACATCCCAAGCATCCAAAGTTCCCCTTGCTATGTCATCTATTCCTCCATAATCTGCCATCCTAATGTGACCTCCTAATATTTTGGACTACAATTCCCAGATGACAACTGCAGTCCTAAACAGCTGGAATACCCTGGGCAGAGGATGCCTCATTCTGTATCTCTTTGGAGCAATTGCTTCTCCTGTGCAAATGGAATTGCACAGAATTGGAACTATGTGACAGACCCCGTGAAATTGCGTGAGGCTTCCAGTGGCTTCTTTCCTCTCCATGATAATACTGCCCCATATTTCTGCTAGTGCAATGGATAAGACCAGCCTTACCTTCCCATTAGGTCCTTCAGGATCCAGACTGGTGGCAAACACCCACTCTGGCGGGTTTGGCTTCATCAGGAACTGGCTGACAAGTCCCAGGCCAATCCCCTGATTGGATCCTGTCACTAGAACACTCTGGACATGAAATTTATCCATGGCTGTTGGTTTGCAAGCTTCAGAATTCTTCTTATATAGCACCTGTGTTCTAGGATGACTCAAAAGAATGCACAACATTTTAACACAGCAGTGTGTACATTTGAACTGCCTTACAAGAAAATTCTCAGGAAGCATCTTCCTCAGTGACTCATGAAAGATGCTTTCCAATTAAATATAACTGGTAGGCATTGTGAAGAAGCTTTGAAGTTAACCTGAGCAAGGCCCAGCCCGGTGTGTGCAAAGTCCAATATTTATGTGACCTGAGATTTGTAAGACAGATGATACGATACTATATGATACGATGCGATATGATACAATACAATACAATACAATACTCTTTATTGTCATTGTCCCATACAGAACAACGAAATTGAAAAAAATCTACATAAGACATTAAAAAACCAACAAGCCTGCTACCCCAGCCATCCCAACCCCGTTAGCCCCCTAAAAACTCCGATACCCCATTTTAAAATACAATATACTTCCACAGAGACTCCTTACACAGCGTTTAAAATCAAAATCGCATTTGGATAGAAACTATTTCTCAGGCAGCTAGTCCTAGTCTTTATAACCCTGTACCTTCTTCCAGAAGGCAGAAGCTGAAAGAGATCATTTCCAGGACGTGCACTATCCTGCGCTATCTCTGCAGCTTTCTTATGGCACCTGGAAGCATAGATTTGATCCAATGTGGGAAAGAGTGCACCCAATTTATTCTCTCTGCAGTCTTTACAACCCTGGACAGCATTGTTTTTTCTCTGACCGTGCAGCTCCCAAACCACACACACAGACCATAAGTTAATACACTCTCAACAGTACAATGGTAAAATGCCATCAACAGGTCCTTTGAGAGATTGTTTTTCCGGAGGTTTCTCAGAAAATATAACCTCTGCTGTGCTCTCTTCATCAGGTCTTTGCTGTTTTCGCCCCAGGTTAGGTCATCTCTCAACTCCATTCCCAGAAATCGAAACACCAAGACCTGTTCCATGCACTTCCCCTTAATAATAAGTGGCTGAATATTCCATTTACATTTCCTAAAGTCCACAATAATCTCTTTTGTTTTCTTTCAGTTAAGGAGTAAGTTGTTTTTCCTGCACCACTCCCCCAACTGCTCAACTTCCTTCCTATAGGCTGCCTCCCCCTCTCCAGCCATGATTAAACCAACCACCATTGTATCATCTGCAAACTTAATGATCTTATTACTGGGGTATTTGGGGGCACAGTCAGCTGTATAGAGCGTATATAAAAGTGGACTCAACACGCACCCCTGCGGCATCCCCGTATTCATGCTGAGATTGGCAGAGATGTAGGAACCCATCTTGACTCGTTGGGAACGGTTTGATAGAAAATCTAATGAGTAAGACAGATAAGAAAAGGGGCATGTCAAGGAAATGGGGCAGTGTCTACTAAAATGCTATGTTAGGAATGTACGGTAATCACCAATAAGAGCATATGAACTGAACAAGCTCATACTTCTGTGAAATGTAACCAATCAATCTAAAATTCTTTGTCTCAGAGTGCTCAGAAAGGGTATAAAAGATTTTGGTACTGTGCCATTTGCATCTCATGACCCGCACCATACCTTGGAAAGACCAGGGGATCCTAATGCAGCAGTGAAATAAGTATCAACCTCCTGGGTGCTTTTGCTTTATGGAAGTGGTCTCTGTCTATTCGTATTAGTCCCACCTGGAGACGGACAAGGCGGTGTGGAGTTTTTCCACAGCAGCAGCAGCAGGTTCCTTCAGAATTCAAGCAGTTTCTCCAAACACAGTAAGAACTAAGTCAAGGCTGACTACCCAATTAACTTCAAGTTTCTAGGCCACAACTCAAGACCAAACTCTGCAAGTATTCTTAGCTCAGAACTGGACTGCTTTAGGGACTGAATAATGGAATCCTTTCAAGTCCTATCCCAACCCTTGGGCTGAGTGGATGTCATCTAATTACCCTGCTAGCCTGCTTAGATGGTTGGTGAGCCATCCAGGCATTGTTTAATTCTGCTCACTGCACAGCTTCCATTGTGAAGGGCAAAACACCAAGCCAGGCATAAAGCCCCAAAATGCTTTTTTTGGTACCATTATTAAGCATCCCTGAAGTTGCATCACTGACTGCCACCCACTTTTATTCACCTTTACTTGGAAATAAACCAATGAGCACAAAGGGAGTTGCCCCAAGTCACTTTGACAGGCAGGACTGGTGCCTTAGTTGGCACCCATTTATTACTCCGCGGCTGCTATAAAGCTTTTAAAAAGGCTATTCTGGTTGCTAGTGAAAAGGACTAAAAGCTTAGAGTTGTGTGTGTGTGTTGTAGGCCATCTAGGAATCCAGCCCCTAGCCTGATGCAGGAAGTCCCCATTGAAGAGGTATTTGTCCTCTTCTCTATGACTGTTCCATTCACCCTTTGGAGAGGACTTTCAGATTCCCCCCTCTGCCTTCTCTTCTCCAGAGAAGAGCATCCCAACTTCCTTCCGCCTCTCCTCATGAGACATGTCTGCAATCTCGTTTGGGGGAAAGGTGACTATTGGAATACAAAACATCCCAAGGGCACAATAAATTCTTCCAGCTGGTGAGTGACTGGCACATGCCCATTATCTAGTATTGATTGGACAACAGATGAGTGAGCTTGCAAATGCAGCAGCTTCACTATCCTGGCTAGAGGATACATGCTCTGGTTAGCACTGGCAAGGCAGATAGGATCTCAGCTGCCATACTAGATGGAGCTGGTAGACAGCTGCCCTGTGGCTCCTAGAAGCGGCCACATCCTTGGAATGACTTCTACTGGCTGGCTAAACCAAGTTAGCGTAGCCGAGGGGTCTTAAACTTGGTGAGTTAGGGACTTCCTCTGTGTGGAAAGAAAGGCGGACTGAACAGATGAGACTAATAGTGGGTCCACCTACACAATAAACCCTACAGAATCTGGAGTGGAGTCCCTAAGATGGTTGAATGGTACCTTGTACACCTCCTTCTGGCAACTCCTGCAGCCAAGCCAATGCCAAACATATTGCTCTGCTTTCCTTTGGACCACATCAGTGAGACCAAGGACCTCCATACACACTACCCAGGCCTGCTCCTCAGGGAGGTCACTTTGGCGCTGCTAACACAGAGATTTGACTCCACCCCCGGAGGTGCACTCCATTGACTCTCAAGACAGACAAATGTCAACAATCAACAACACCAATATTAGATACAGGAGTACCTTACTGGTGCAGGAGATCTCCAGATTAACCAAGAGGCACCAGACTATGGAACAAATGAGGCTCAGACTATTGAGCCTTAGGTCATTTTGATTTGATTTGATGCTGGGGATTATTACTGGTAACTGATGTGGCGATTTTATAAAGCCTGGGAAGGAAAAGTGAGAAAAGACAAAAGACGAAATACCAGGAAGGTGAGTAAAAACAAACAAACCCAAGAACCAATGAGCCCAGTTTAAGGGAGTCCCACTCTACTTGGAAATCCTTTGGGAAAAAAGTCCTAAGTAGTTTAAGATACAAGAGGAAAAAGTGGTAAGAGAAAATCTGCCAGTGGCAGGTGATACTTAAATTCAAAACAAAGAGACAGTGAGAACAAAGGAGCAGCGCTGCCTAGTTGTAGGAGGGGAAATGACTTGATATGTGGTTGGGACTTACAACATCTTCCCTTTATGGCTGTATAGACTGTATGTCATTAGCTGCCCTGGCTTCTTTGCAATGATATTTTTTAAATTACATAAAATTGCTTACCTGCGTTAACTTACTAACCTGGGGCCAGACACTTTGATGCACTAGAGCAGACTGTCTGGGGACAGAGATACAGGCGGGGTGCCCCTAGGTCGGAGGAAGATTGCCCAATGCAGGAGACAAACCCCTGGAGGAACATGGCACAAAAAAGCAGGACTGTCAGCAGCCATGCTGTGTCTCTGGAGCTACAAAATTGATTCCATGCAAGTACAGCGGTTGCAGACCTCAGAAAACACCAAGGTGGCAGTGGAAGGTACAGTGCAGAGAACGATTCCTGCCACTCTCCAGAGAAGGAAAAGACATGTGGTGATGACAGGTGACTTCCTACGGAGGGGGACAGAGGCAGGAGTGGAACTCTAACTCTGCCAGGAATGTAAGATCCAACCAATTCCTCCATTGACTCACTGACAATTTCATTTCCCAGAAGGTGGAATAAACAACAAAGGGGGCATCTCTCTTGGATCTGGTCCTCATCAGAAGGGAGAAACTGACGAGGTGAAAGTATAGGGAACCTTGGGAGGAAGTGATCATGCCCTCTTGGGTTTCATTATACACAGGCAAAGGAAAGCTGCTAAAATGTGGGCTGGGTGAGGTAACTGTTAGATGGATTTGTAGCTGGTTGACTGACTGAACCCAAAGTGTACTCATTAATGGTTCCTCATCATCCTGGGGGGAAAGTGACAAGTGGGGTTCTGCCCTGGGACAGTTGTTGTGTCTTTATAAATGACCTGAATGAAGGAATTGAGGGAATGCTTAATAATAATAATAATAATAATAATAATAATAATAATAATAATTTATTTATACCCCATTCATCTGGCTGGGTTTCCCCGGTCACTCTGGGCAGCTTCCAACAAAAGATTAAAAATACATTAAAACATCAGACCTTAAAAACTTCCCTAAGCAGGGCTGCCTTCAGATGTCTTTTAAACATCAGATAGTTATTTATTTCTTTGGCATCTGACTGGAGGGCATTCCACAGGGTGGGCGCCACTACTGAGAAGGCCCTCTGCCTGCTTATAAAATTGCAGGTGATGCCAAACTGGAAGGGGTAGCCAATGCCTCAGAAGACAGAAACAGGAGTTAAGATTACCTTAACAGATTGGCAAACTCGGCCTAAACTAACAGAATGAATTTCAGTAGGGTCAAATGTTAGGGTCAAATTCAGTAGGGTCTACACTTAGGCAAGGAATAACCAGCTGCACAAATATAAGATGGGGAACACCTGCCTTACTAGTAGTACACGTGAAAAGGATCTAGGGATCTTAGTAAATCACAAGTTTAACACAAGTCAATTGTGTGATGCAGCAGCAAAACAAAATCTAATGTTATTCTAGGCTGCATCAACAGATCATACTACACCTGGAATACTGTGTCCTGGAATACTGTGTCCTGTTCTGGACACCATAATTTAAGAAGATTATTGACAAGCTGGAACATGTGCAGAGGAGGGCAACAATGATGATTAAGGGTTGGGAAACCAAGCCTTATGAGGAACAGTTTAGGGAGCTGGGTATGTTTAATCTGGAAAAGAGCACACTGAGAGGACATATGATAGCCATCCTCAGATCTGAAGGGCTGTCACATGGAGGATGCAGCAAGCTTGTTTTCTCCTGCTCCAGAATGTAGGACTCT